AAAAAAAAAAAAAACTTGTAGAGGCCTAATGATCACCTGCCCATAAGTCTCCCAGAATACTGGGATTAAAACTGTCATGAAAATAATAATGTGTACTACTAATTCTATACAGGCTATTAATATAATGGAACTGTTGCTATTAATGGTATGTAGAAGAAAATGAAAATAATATGAACTAAGCAAGTGAATCTTTAAAGATTGGAAATACATATGGACTATTTCAAACAGGCATATATGTTACAACTTAAACTGAGAAATTTACATACCATTGTCACATTACTATCCAACTGTTGTGACTTCCAGTGACTTCTATGTTTATTCACACTCTAAAGGAAGAAAAGTTAGACAGGGGTTTTCAGAGAATGCATAACAAAAGAAATCAGTTTCTGCACAAAATTCTAACCATCTGAAACTTAAAAAATATGTTCCAAACTAGATTATGTTTAATGATTATAAGAATTTGGTAATTAATTCATGGGGGTTCACTATACTTCAGAATCATAAATCTTATTTCTCCAACTATCTTCTAGAACAGAAACAAAGGGGGTCTAATTTGATAAAATTTGATACTTACCTGTCGAACAATTGAAAACTGTGCTACTTGTTGTTGTTGCCACTGTAGTGTTGGAGAATAACCTTCAGGGGCAGGTTGGCATCCTGACAGCTAGAAAGATGGAGAGTGAATAATAAATAAGACTGTTCAAGAAAAATAAACACTTTCCTATTTATGTCCAGTTAAAATTGTTATGGAAAGATCTTTAGTCACTTTCATAAGAGCAATCTGGAATGGTTTATAGTTCAGAGTTTCCAAGAAATCTAAATGACATAAGCCCTGAAGATACAATCTAATCCTATCTTTCTATAATACCAAAACAGAAACAAAAGGAGAGATAAACCCCAAATAAAGAATTTTGGCAAGGAAAAACAATTAAGAAAGAAGGATTAAGTTCTAGAGTTCAATAGCGCAGTGACAGTAATTTATTGTATATTTCAAAATAGCTAAGGAAAGGATTTGAAATGTTCCTAACACAAATAAATGATAAAATGTTTGAGGTGAGGAATATCCTAATTACTCCGATTTGATCACTGATCATTCCACATTGTATGCAGGTATCAAAATATGTACATACCCCATAAATACGTACAATTATTATCTATCAATATGATTAAAAAAAGAATTCTGATATGGACAAAATGTACTCAAATAATCAAAATATTTGATTTTATATTTATTTATTTACTTTTGAGAAAGGGTCTCATTGTGTTATCCAGGCTGCTCTCCAACTCCTGGCTTTAAGAGATCTTTTCGCCTCAGCCTCCTGAATCCACTGGGATTACAGGCACAAATTTATAATCTAAAATAGTACACAATTCACAAATGATCACCAATTGCCTTGAAATAGAACTTAGTGGGATCATTTTTAAAAAATTAGGTAAACAGGGCACAGTGGCTCACAACTGTATTCCCAGTGAAAGTGGAGGCCAAGGCGGGAGGAACACTTGAGGCCAGGAGTTTAACACCAGCCTGGGTAACATAGTGAGAATGCCCAGATTTAAAAAAAAGAAAAATAGCCAGGGTGGTGGTGTACATTTGTCTACTTGGGAAGCTGAGGCAGAAGGATTGCTTGAGTGTAGAGGCTGTAGTGAGCTATGATAGTGCCATTATACCCCAACCTACCCAACCTGAGTGATGCAGTGAGATGCTGACTTGGGAAAAAGAAATTAGGTCTATAAGACGTATTCCATCAATTACAAATTTCTGAAAAGGAATTGTATGAAACATTATAGTGTCTGAACTAAAATTTTCTGATTATAAATATCAGATAAATGAATTAGAACATAAAAAAGAGATTATCAAAATGTTCCTCTTGGGTAAAATAGCACCTCCTCAGAGAGATATTCTGTGATTATTTACAGTAGTTCTCTTATTTATTGATCATTGCACATGCTTATTTCCATCTTGGCAATAGTCACAAGATGTATTTAATTTGTTTGCTTGTTTATTGTCCTCCTCTAAAGACTGTAAATTCTTCAAGGGTAAGGATCTTTCCTGTCTTAGCCTCTATTTTATTTCTAGTACCTGGCACAACCTACTTGCTTAATAAAAAATGTGCTTAGGACTTGGCATCTGTAGCACAGTGCCAGCCACAGACATTGAGGATGGCAGGTTTGAACCTGGCCCAGGCCAGCTAAACGACGACAATTGCAACAACAACAACAAAAAATAGCTGGGCATTGTGGCAGGCACGTATAATCCCAGCTACTTGGGAGGTTGAGGCTGGAGAATCACTTACCCCAAGAGTTTGAGTTTGCTGTGAGCTGTGACACCACAGGACTCTACTGAGGGCGACACAGTAAGACTCTATATCTCAACAACAATAAAACTGTGCTTAGGCTGGATGTGGTGGCTCACACCTGTAATCCCAGCACTTTGGGAGATTGATGCAAGGAGGAATGCTTGAGGCCAGGAGTTCAAGACCAGCTTGGGCAACATATCAAGACCTCATCTCTACAAAAAAAATTAAAAATAAATAAAAAAATTAGTCAAGTATGGTGGCAGGCACCTGTAGTCTCAGCTACTTTAAGCTGACGGATGACGGGCCAGAAAAAATGCTAGATAAAAATAAATGAATAAAGGTGTCCCCAGTGTGCAAGCAGCTAGAAAAGCATAAGATATTTGAGTTCCTACTGTTAAAGGATTACAGAGGGCAGCGCCTGTAGCTCAAAGGAGTAGGGTGCCGGCCCCATATGCTGGAGGTGGCGGGTTCAAACCCAGCCCCGGCCAAAAACTGCAAAAAAAAAAAAAAGAATAATAAAAGAAAACTTGGTCAAATTCAAAACAAGCAAGGCACACAAAGTAAGACTAAAAACCAGATTGATGATAATTATGAAAACAGAACCAGAACAAGATCTCTTAAAAATAAAGAATAGCATTAAGTAACCTAAAGAAGGATTTAGGATTGGATTATGTCCTAAATTAAGATGGCAAGTCTCCACAAACGCCCAGGGTTATGGCCTCTTTGGAGAAAGTACAGGCCAATTGTTCTTCTGGAGGAAAATGTACAAACGAATGTATAATTTGTAGGTAGTGGTCAAATCTTACCTAGATTATAACTGACAACCTCAGATTCTAAAGGAAAAACCTTAGCCTTTTAAATTTGGGGGACAGTTAATAAAACTCACAGAAATATTCACACTTGGCTTCCTTTTCAACTTCTTTGGGTCAATTTGAGCTACCACAACATCTGGACATTGAGCTGCTTCAATCCTACAAATAATTAATAAATGCAAATTTAATTAAACTTGTACTTTGTTCAGGTGTAGTAAAACAAGCAATCCATTTCCACAGTTCATTGTGAAATCAGGAAAAAATTCAGACTTCCAATTGAAGTTATAAACGATATACAGTATAGGTATTTATCAAACTATCTGGATTGAAAGAAAAGAAATCTAAAAGCACACATCTTGATACGCTCAACCAAATTCAAAATAAACCAGCCTACGGTGGGATGTACTCCAGTGATCTTGAGCAGATCAGACTTAGCGCGAGAAAAGGACAGGAATGGAGGCGGGGCTTTAGCTCACAGAGGGGTCGAACTGGGTACCAGATGATGTGCCCAGGGGCAGGGCGGAGGGCCAGCCCACCCGCGCGGGGCCAAATCACTCACTGGACCCGTCTCAGGTATTCCTGAGGTGTCCTCGGGGGTACCGAGGGATCGAAAGCTTCCGTCAAGTCGCAGGGTTCCACCGGCAGCAGCCGGGGCATCAACTCTTCCACTGCAGACTCCGCGGGTACCCACGCCATAGCTTTCAACCCGGCCAGTCCCGCCCAGCGCATGCGCCCTGTCAAGGTCACGGCGCAGGCGCACAAGTAAGCGCCTGTGGCACAGAGCTGAGAAAGCGGCCGGAATTAGGGAATGTAACTGCGCATGAGCGTATTGCTCGCCCAGCCTTAAGGCTCTGGTGGTATAGGAAAGGCTGGGCGAGTTTAATTCCTGGCACAAGTGGCTCTAAAGTGTTACTTCATCTTTAACCCTCTATTCTCGCTTCTAAAGTTAGGGCGAGGAATAATTTTTATGCATCCCTAACAGTGAGACATGCTTAGGTATTTTTTGAAGCAATGAAGTAACGTTACTGTCGTTGTTTTTGGAGCTCTAAATTCTTTCTTTCTTTCTTTTTTGAGATAGGCTCTCATTTTGTCGCCCTCGGTAGAGTGCTATGCTGTCACAGCTCACAGCAACCTCAAACTCTTGGGCTTAAGTGATTATCTTGCCTCAGCCTCCCAAGTAGCTGGGACTACAGGCACCTGCCACAACACCAGCTATTTTTTGGTTGTAGTTGTTATTGTTGTTTGGCAGGCCAGTGCTGGGTTCAAACCCGCCATCCTCAGTGTATGTGGCTAGCACGCTACCCACTGAGCTACAGGCACTGAGCCGGAGCTTTTAATTCTTAAATCATGGGTACACACATTACATACTTTTCCTCATTTGATGCTTAGAACAAACCCTGTGAAGTGGCTGGTAATATTACAGTATCTTAGCGGAGGAATTCTACTGAAAGAGATGTAAGTACTAGGAATGCAGCTTTCTCCCCAAAAGGAAGAACCAGTTTCTGGTTGTTTTCTTTTTTTAGAGACGAAGTGAGGATGTGTGTCTTTCACTTACTCAGGCTGGTCTCAAACTTGTGAGCTCAGGCAATCCACCTGCCTCGGCCTCTCAGAGTGCTAGGATTACAGGTATGAGGCACACTGCTCCTGGCCTGAAGAACCACTTTTAACCCAGATTTATCTGATGCCTAATGAATGAAAAATAAATTTTCCATAGGAATTTTTTGTGCTTGGCGGCTTCAAAGGTCCACTGTTTATTTGAAAGAATGTTATTCCTTGGTACCCAGCCCTTCTTTCGTCTCTGTCTCTGTCTCTCTCTCTCTTTCCATACAGAGTCTCACTGAGTAGGGTGCCACGGTTAGTAACTCACATGAACCACAAACTTTTGGGCTCAAGAGATCCTCTTGCACCAGTCTCCAGAGTAGCCTGGACTACATGTGCCTACCACAAGGGTCAACTAATTTTTCATTTTTTGGTAGAGACATGTTTCACTATTGCTCAGAAAAATTCCTTTGCTTAAATACGAATAGTGCAAAGGATAAAGCTAAGGCCAACACTCAGAAGTTACTAGTATTAGCATTAAGTTAATTTTGTGAGGTAGATACAATTATTATCTCTATTTTACAGATGAAGGAACGGACAGGAATGGGTTAAGCAACTTGGGGTAGGTCACTAAGTGCAAGAAACAATGGAAGTATTATTTCTCTTTCTTTCTAGACAAACATAATTGACCTTTACTTTCTAAACTTTTTTTTTTTTTTTTAGGACAGTCTCACTTTGTCACCCCGGGTAAAGTGCTGTGGGGTCACAGCTCACAGCAACCTCACACTCTTGGGCTTAAGTGATTCTTTTGTCTCAGCCTCCCAAGTAGCTGGGACTACAGGCTCCCAGCACAACACCTGGCTACTTCTGTTCATTTTTTAAGTTTTTTTTTTTTTTTGAGTGCTGCCTTTATCTTGCAAGGAATGATTTCAAACCAGGAGGTTTTCTCTTAATTGAAGATAAAGTGAGGACAGTCTTTTGCTTAAAACTAAGGAAGTGGTGCTTAGGAATTGGGAGGCTTGGAAAGACACCATCTGGTTGCAGTCAAACTGGAAAGTTATTTGGCTAAAAAATTTTCACTGATTTTGTAAAAAAACGACTTAGAAGAAATGTAAGGAAATGCTCTCACCGTCTCCCACAGCATTTTGGCGATAATCGAGAACAAATTAAAAAAAGTAAGCAGTGACTTCATTTCTGGATTTTCCTTATGAATACTTTTTTTTTTTTGGTGAAACTGAATTATCAGCAATCATCTCTGTCCCCTGCTTTTCTGGAGAAAACGTGATTGGTTTGCCACCAATGCTTGACACTGGACTCTGCATAAGTAGGTATCAGAATTACATATGAATCAAGAAAGAGAGGAGAGGAATAACTGAGTAGAAGGTAGGTTATCCTGGGAAATAATAAATTCGTTTTCAACAAAAGAGGTAAGTAATAAAGTATACAAATGATTCTGAAATGGTCCTAAAATTTTTTTTATTTATTTTTTTTGAGGCAGAGTCTTACTATGTCACCTTCAGTAGAGTGACTGGCTCACAGCAGCTTCAAACTCTTAGGCTTAAGTGATTCTCTTGCCTCAGCCTCCCAAGTAGCTGAGACTATAGGCATCCGCCACAACACCTGGCTATTTTGTTGTTGTTGTTGTTGTCATTGTTGTTTACCTGGCGCGGGCTGGGTTTGAACCCGCCAGCCCCAGTGTATGTGGCCAGTGCCCTAACCGCTGAGCTATAGGCTCTGAGCCAGTTCTGAAATTTTAATTATACAACCATGAATATTCATGAGAGAGGAAAGTAAGTAAAGGCTTATAAGGGTAGCTTTCTGGTACTTCAGATCTATCTGACTTTAAAGGAATTACTCATGAGATTTGGAGCAGATTTTTAATGATTACAAATCAGAAATTGCAATAAGTATTTTTGAACATTACAGTGAGGTATAGAAAACCTGAGAATAAGCTATATTTTGTTGATGCAGTTATTCTGAAAAACTAGACTAAACTTTTTTTTTTTTTTTTTTTGAGACAGAGCCTCAAGCTGTCCCCCTGGGCAGAGTGCCGTGGCATTACAGCTCACAGCAACCTCCAACTCCTGGGCTCAAGCGAGTCTCCTGCCTCCGCCTCCCAAGTAGCTGGGACCACAGGCGCCCGCCACAACGCCCGGCTATTTTTTGGTTGCAGCCGTCATTGTTGTTTGGCGGGTCCGGGCTGGGGATTCGAACCCACCACCTTAGGTGTACGTGGCTGGCGCCTTAGCCGGTTGAGCTATAGGCGCCGAGCCTAGACTAAACTTTTAAAACTGTAATAACCTTCACCTAATCTCTAAAACTTCTAAAACTGTAATAACCTCTTCATTTAACCTCTAAAACTTCTGAAACTGTAATAACCTCTTCATCTAACCTCTTCCTAGGAAGAACAGTTCCTAATGTACTGAACTATTTCTGGTGCCCTAGTTTAGGATGGAAAATTGGCTCAATATTTCTCATGTTGGTGGATGGCTGTAGTAGTTGTACGAGAATTGTGAGAACAAAACAGCTGAATGTTTACTGATGACATGGCACATTGATGATATGGTTATTCATTGATGATGGTGGGTTCTCTTAAGTCAGCCTTATGCAGCTAATTACAAAAGTTGTCTCTGTGTTTCTAACCCTTTAAGCAGCTCAGTCATTCTCAAATGTTAGTGTACATAAGAATGATCTAGGGGCGACGCCTGTGGTTCAAAGGAGTAGGGCACCAGCCCCATGTGCTGGAGTTGGTGGGTTCAAACCCAGTCCTGGCCTAAAAAAAAAAGTTATCTAGAAGAAATTGTTTAAAACGGAGCGTCAGATCCAATGTGGTGGCTCACATCTGAAATCCTAGCAGTCCTGGAGGTGGTGCCCATTGCTCAGTGGGCAGGGTGCCAGCCACATGCATCAAGGCTGGTGAGTTCAAACCCAGCCTGGGCCTGCTAACACAAAAAAATACCTGGGCACTGTCGTGGGCGCCTGTAGGCCCAGCTATTCGAGAGGCTGAGGCAAGGGAATCTCTTGAGCCCAAGAGTTTGAGGTTGCTGTGAGCTGTGATGCCACACTCTACTGAGTGCAACAAAGTGAGACTCTGTCTCAATTAAAAAAAAAAAAATCCTAGCACTCTTCAGAGGCTGAGGCAGGACAATTGCTGGGGCTTAAAGTATGAGACCAGCCTGAGCAAGAGTGAAATCCTGTCACTACTAAAAGTAGAAAAAACTTAGCTGGGTTTTGTGGTGCAGGCCTGTAGTCCCAGGTGTTTGGGAGGCTGGGCCCTGGAGTGTGAGTTTTCTGTGAGCTGTGATGACACCACCAGCACTCTAGCCTGGTGAGTGAGTGAGACCCTGTGTCAAAAAAAAAAAAAAAAAAAAAGTCAGGGCTGAGGTGTCTCATGCCTGTAATCCTAGCACTCTGGGAGGCTAAAGCAGGTGCATCGCTTAGCTCAGGAGTTTAAGACCAGCCTGAACAAGAGTAAGACACTGTCTCTACTGAAAATGAAAAGCTGAGGCTAGAGGATCACTTGAGCCTAGAGTTTGAGGTCTCTGTGAGCTATAACACCACCACACTCTACTGAGGGTGACAAAATCAGAGTCTGTCTCAAAAAAAAAAAAAAATTTAAAATGCAGAGTCCTAAGTCCTATACCTCTTTCCTCCAGAGCTTTTGTTGATATAGATTGGATGCTGGGCTCAGAAACTGACGCTTTAGCTCAGCTCGGTGGCACAGGCCTATGATCCTAGCAGTTTGGGAGACCAAGGTAGGTGGATCAACTGAGCTCAAGAGTTGAAGACCAGGAGACCAGCTTGAGAAACAGCTGGTCCAGGTCTGTACTAAAAATGGAAAAATTAGCCAGGTATTGTGGTGGGTACATGTAGTTTCACCTACTCAGGAGGCTAAGTAGCACAGTGGTTACGGTGCTGGCCACATACACTGAGGCTGGTGGGTTCAAACCCAGCCTGGGCGAGCTAAACAACAATGACAACTACAAGAAAAAAAATACTTGGATGTTGTGGTGGGCACCTGAGAGGCTGAGGCAAGAGAATTACTTCAGCCCAAGAGTTTGAAGTTGCTGTGAGCTATGACGTCATGGCACTCTACCCAGGGTGACATAGTGAGACTCTGTCTCAAAAAAAAGATCGCTTGAGCCCAAGAGTTTGATGTTGCTGTGAGCTATAATGATGCCATGGCACTCTAACCAGGGTGATAGGGAGAGACTCTGTTTCTAAAAGTAAAAAAATAAATTGAAATTTTAATAACTATTCTAAATGAGA